TAAAAATATATATTTAATTAAAAAAAATAAAATAAAATAAATTTCCACCAAAAAAACTTAAAAAAATTTAAAAATTTAAAAAAGAATCCCAAAGTCTGGATTAGTATCCAGAGTCTCCCTTATTTTCAAGTTTGGCAACTAATTCATATTCTTTTAAACACTATATGGGCTCATTTTGGGGCTTGGCTATTCATTCATTGGTCTATAACCTCTGGTCTGTAAAATGTCCAGGGCTGTTCTTGGCACCATGAGGGATACTTGATGGCAGAAAACTTGTCAAGGGCCTGTCCTAGGTTGGAGGACCACACAGAGCTTGAGCCCTCTGAGTCCCCAAGCCCTTGCATCTCTAAAGAAGCAAGTTGCTGTGACAGTGCTTTATAGCAGCCTCTGTGACATGGCTAAGAGGAGCTATGGAAAAGCCCATACCACCTTTAATTTCGCTGCCTTGTCTAGTGCTAGGTTTAGGGCCAGTGTCCCAAAGATCACTGGGAAAAGCATGCCCACAGGTGTGTCCTGGGACCTAATCCTGCCCCCTCAGAGGTCTGAGCACAGTGGCAGCTCTCAGATCGCCCCCCTCAGCCCCCCTCAGCAGGCCTACTGGAATACAGCAGTAACCATCATTCACCATTTCTTTGTTCTCTTGACAGTTTTAAACATCTGACTGGATCTCGTGGCCTTCCCCCTCAGAATCTCCTGTGTCTCTGCAAAGGCATCCTGGAGTCACTTCTCAGAGCGACAGCAGAAGCAGAGGAGGGGACCTGGGTTGGGGTGGGCATTAAATTCGGGAGGGGGGGTGGTGCGCTTGCTAGCTGGTGACAAAGCAGCAGTGAACTTGCCCCAAGGCCACACGTGCCTGGTCAGGCTGGCTTCTGATGTTCAGTCCCCTGGGCGGACGGATTTTTTTTTAGTGTCTTGAAATTTAAACTCTGTGCTTGTAGGAAACTGTAACCTTTTTGTCTTTTTTTTTTTTTTTTTTTTTTTAAACAAAAACCTCCACCTCCAGTGGCTGTGACTGGTCCCAGTGATTGTACCTTATTGGTTGCTGTGGGTCTGGGCGGGCCTGGAGCCAAAAGGCGACTACTGTTCCTCCCCCAAGTCACCCCATGTGGGGAGGGAGGGAGGTTTCAGACTCCAGTTCCTCTCCCTTGCCCTCTTATTCTCAAGCCTCCTTGAGCCCAGTAGAAGCAGTGGCCAGCTTCCTGAGCTCTGCCTAAAAATCGCCACTCAGCACTGGTTGGGGACAAGGGCTGAACCAGTGGCCACCAGCCACGCCTAGGAGCTGGAACCAGAAAGCCAGGCAACCTCTGGTCACAGGGGCCATTTCCAGGCCTCCCAGCTGAGAGGGGTCACTGTTTTGCCTTGTCTGTCAGTGCAGTGCCTGTGCTGAGGTGGAGAGGTGAGTCCTATCAGATTCCTGGCTGGGCCTTCCCACCTGCTCTGGCTTCTCTGCTCCCATGCTCGCTGTACCTTTTCTTATTCTGATGGGTCCCCCGCCCCTGATTAAACTCTCTTCTTGCCCCTTTGGGGCTGCATGAGGTCTGTGCTCTGTCTGCATATGTGGAAAGAGGGGAGGTGGGGCTTTTTCTTTCCAAAGACCATGTGACTGGTACTTGGGCCTGGGGTCACCACCAGAAGCAATCTTACGGTTCCTGACATCCCTGCCTAGGGCCCTAATCCGGAGACTTCCATTGCAATCTAGGCACCACCCATTTTAAAAACTGTTACCCCTACCTATAAAGAGCTTTGGTCCTTTTTGCCTAATGAGCTCATTTGGACTAAACCAACCTCGGAGAGACAGTGATCCCATTTTATGGCTAAGGAAACAGGTTCCATAAGATGTAGTAGCTTGCCCCAAATTTAGCCAGTGAGCAAGAGGGTAGATTTCAAATCCAAGACTTCTGCCTCTACCAATGCTAAGACAGTACTCAGTAGCCATGTGTGGTTATTTAAATTACTGAAACTAAATAAGGTTTAAAATTTACTCACACGATCCCACATTACAAGTGCTCAATAGCTACCAGTGACTAATGCCTATCATGTCAGATGGTACATATGTAGAGCATTTCCATGATCACCGAAAGCTCTTGGACAGTGCTAGACTTGGTGAATCCTCCCAAGTAAACAAGATTGCTTGTATTTGAGTCCCAACTCTTAAATATATTTTATTGATTTTTTAGAGAGGAAAGGAGAGATTAGATAGAAGCATCCATGAGAGAGAAACATCAATCAGCTACATCCTGCACATACACACACACCATGCCCCCATACACAGGGGGTGGAGCCTGCAACCCGGGCATGTGCCCTGACTGGGAATTGAACTGGGGGCCTCCTGCCTAGGGCCCTAATCCGGAGACTTCCATTGCAATCTAGGCACCACCCATTTTAAAAACTGTTACCCCTACCTATAAAGAGCTTTGGTCCTTTTTGCCTAATGAGCTCATTTGGACTAAACCAACCTCGGAGAGACAGTGATCCCATTTTATGGCTAAGGAAACAGGTTCCATAAGATGTAGTAGCTTGCCCCAAATTTAGCCAGTGAGCAAGAGGGTAGATTTCAAATCCAAGACTTCTGCCTCTACCAATGCTAAGACAGTACTCAGTAGCCATGTGTGGTTATTTAAATTACTGAAACTAAATAAGGTTTAAAATTTACTCACACGATCCCACATTACAAGTGCTCAATAGCTACCAGTGACTAATGCCTATCATGTCAGATGGTACATATGTAGAGCATTTCCATGATCACCGAAAGCTCTTGGACAGTGCTAGACTTGGTGAATCCTCCCAAGTAAACAAGATTGCTTGTATTTGAGTCCCAACTCTTAAATATATTTTATTGATTTTTTAGAGAGGAAAGGAGAGATTAGATAGAAGCATCCATGAGAGAGAAACATCAATCAGCTACATCCTGCACATACACACACACCATGCCCCCATACACAGGGGGTGGAGCCTGCAACCCGGGCATGTGCCCTGACTGGGAATTGAACTGGGGGCCTCTTGGTTTCTGGCTTGACGCTCAACTGCTGAGCTACATCAGCCCAGCATGAGTCCAAACTCTTGCTGAATTTGAGTAAATTATAAAGTGGAGATAGTTAATGTAAACAATCTCACATAGTTCCTGCTATACCGGTACTAAGTAAACAATAGCTGATCTTTCCACCAGCCCACTATGCAAGCTGATAACTTCCCTCATCTAGACATGGGTGATGACATTATCCCTGTCTTGGAGAGATTTGGGGGACTAGTAAAAGCCAGGTGTGTAAATAGATGTGTTGAAGTGTTTCATATTCACTATAAGTCTTGGGGCCCACAGGGCATATATTTATGGAGGAGGATGCCGGGAAGAGTTTCAGAAGGGTTGGCCTTTGAGCTGAGCTTTCAAAAGTGTTCTAGATGGCCAACGGGTCTCTTGAAGTAGAGGACAAGGTGATGTTAAAGGGAGAAAGGGCTGGGGCTGGGGGCAACTCGGATAGCTATCATCCCCTTTATGACTTACCTCTGTGACCTCTTCCTTCTGCCTTGCAGAATGAGGTGTGCCCTACTCTGGGGCACATGACTGTGTTCTAGCTTTGCAGTGAATGTTAAAGGTGCTCACAGTGAAGATAGCCACTATAGAGTATGGCAGCTGCTCACTCAGCCCTCACAGGACGGCATTGCCTGGGTGAGCCAGCCAAAACTCTCTTGTCATGGATCCATCTCCTCTGATCTGGATCCCCTAAAACCAAATTTGCTCCCTGATGAGAACGGACTGGGTGGTTTCCAATCAGCTGGCCCTCTCCTGGGGACATGTCTTTTGGGAAACCCAGTCACCAGCCAGTGGGGGGTTGGGAAGGGTGATCTGCGGGGATGGGGTTGGCTGGACACCTAGGTGGAGGACCCACCTTCACTGAATGGGCAGATCTAGCCAGAGACAACACAAAGCTGGCTTTTTGGACCAGGTACTCTCTTCCCTGGAGTTTGTTTAAATGGGCACTGCTAGAGTTTACCTCTCAAACTACCCATATTTCCATGACCAATAGACAACCAGTTTAGAGTGATAACATGGGGTCATGATGTTAACAGTGTTTGTGTTTAAGAGTGGGGCCTTGGAATCAGATCTGGGTTCCACTGCTGGCTCTGAGATGAGGCAAATTCTGTAACATCTTGGAGTCTTATTTATCTCACCTGTGACTTGAGGATACTACTTTGCCACCACGCCCAAAAGGATTGCTTAGTCTTGTCTTGAGAGCTGTGCATAAATCCAGTTACATTTTTTCCTGCAGTTGACAAAGATGATCTGTTTTTGTATTTCCAATTTTTGTGGGGTGGGGGAAGGGAGAAGTGTGTTCTGTGCTGGATCATTGTTTCCTGCATATACGGTCTTTCAAATCTGTCCCCAAGGACCTGCTCCTAGCCCCATCTGTCAGGCCCTGCAGATGCAATCCCGCCTCACCAGGCTCCAGCCACATTGGCATCCTTTTAGTTCCCCAGAAAGGTTCTTACCCTCCTCAGGGCTGTTGCTGAGACTTGCCTCTCCCTGGAATGCTATTTCTCCCCTCTTCCCTGGCCAACTCCTGACCTTTGCATTCTGTACGGCGTTGGCTTCAATGTCACCTCTTCAGAGAACATCCTTGACTGCCTTATCCAAAATATGCCACTTTCCTGGCTGTAGTTCATTGCCCGTACCATACTTACAGCTGTTATATACCTTTGTTGCTTACTTTTTGTTTCCTCTCCACTGGGCTCTAAACTCCATGAGGTCAGGGATCACCTAGGTCCCAGCCCATTGCCTAGGACGTGATCCTCTATAAATACTGTGAAATGACTGGAGCCCCAGGAAGTGCTCAATGAAAAACCATGGCACTGGTAGTAATTGGCAACCCGGTACTGTGCGCTTCCGCCATCAGTGCTCTCATCAAGGGTGTGGGGCAGGTGAAGTTCAGAGTTCGCCTGATGGAACCAGCCAACCGCGGCCTGATTGTGGCAAGGAATGGTTTCCAAGGCGACAATAAACAGAGGGCGGAGCCTCGAACCCTAGGACCCTGCTCTGCAATCCCGCGAGAGGCAGCAGTGCGGGGCGCAGGGAGGGCGTGCGAGCGCGGTAAGGCGCATGCAGGGCCCCCGCTTGGCGCTGATCCGGAGCGCGGGGGACCTGAGGGTCAGACACCCGTGCTCCACCACCTGGTACCGCCTGGAGGGCAGCCCGGTATGCAACTGGCCGCAGAAGCCGCAGCCGCCTGAGCCACGCACCAGTTACCCCGTCCCGTGGCCCTGGGCACACCGCTCGGAGTTTCGGCCTCTAGAGACGCTGCCATGGCCCAGGTCCGCCTGCGCCTGGTCCGACGGGGCTCGTGCTGGTAGCAAAAGCCTGGCCGGGAGCCACGCCATCCAGTCGCTCGCCCATGGCACTCACGCCCAGGGCACCGCAGTTCTACGCCCCCTGGGGCGCCCGCACACCCGAGCCCTTGATGATGCCCCGCTGCAGGACGGTGAGGCCCATTTCGGTCAGCCCATCCTGGTCGAGGCAGTAGTGACGAGGAAGAGACGACTGGGTGGAGGGAATGGGGGTCGGGAGAAGAGCGATAGAGGGTGGGCATCCGGGTGAAGGGCAGAGAAGGAGCAGGGGCATGGGCATTTGGGGCCAGAGAGATGCTAGGCTGAGCCCCCTCTACTCATCTTTCCGCAGGTTCCCTGGTCCTCTGGTCAGGATTGTCCAAGGACTCTCCGCACATGGGCCGGCTCAGAAACGCCAAGATCCATGTGGAGAGAGCTGTCAAGGTCAGAGGGGGCTAGGGAAGGAGGGGCGGTTCTAGAATGGCACAATCTGCCTCCCTGAACTAATTTATTCCATCCTTAAAAAACAAACTCCTTGATTCCACACCCATCTTCAAATACCTCCCTATTTTTTAAAAGTTTATCTTTATTGTTGGAAGTATTACAGATGCCCTCCTTGTCCCCCTTGACCCCTTCTAGCCCACACCTGCAAATACATCCCTATTTAAAAAAATTTTTTAAATGTA